ACCGCTTTTTACTGTCTCCTTATCATTTTGAAAGGACATTGAAAAGTTGCTAAAGATATACCGTGTGAAAAAAGAGTGAGCAACGTGTAACAAGACAACGCTGAATTACATAACCTCAGGGTAGGAACTATCTCATGGAATAAGAAACATGATTAGAGTATCCTCAGTGTAACTCACGCGTGTGTGTTTAGGGATCTCGCTGATGATGATGAACACACTGGAGATCACTGTGTGGCCGCCTGTCTACAATCTGCTTTTTATTTTTTATTTAAATAATAATAATAGCCTAATAATAATAGAAATAATAACTTATAGCTAACATGAGCAGTGACTGTTTAGATTTTAGGTTTGTCAATTTTATGATAGGCTATCAGTATCCGAATCAACTAAACATTTCATCAGTAATGATTATATGGAGCATATAACGCTCATTTATGGTAGAAAGAAGATCAAGGTGTCCTTACCATGCGTTTATCTCCAAAGTTTCATGTCATGTGAGTACGGCTGAGCTGAGGCGCACTGCAGTTTCCTGAAGCGCAGAACACAGATCACACACTCCTACAGCAGGAAGTCAAAGAGAAATCCACTGGGCTACTGCATTTACATACGCCTATCCGAGGCTTACACACATTTAAAACATCAGGAATATTGTCACCAAAATACTGTTCATTTTAAGTATGCTTAAGTAAAGTTGAAAAATATATTTTAAAGTATACTTTAGGTAGTAATTATACTAATATTAATGTAATTGAAGTATACTTGTAAGTCTACTGTTTCAATACTACTTGGGACTAAATTGGCCCACTTTGTATAAAAGTATTATTATTATTATTATACTTTATTGTCCCATTCCTGGGAAATTTGTCTTGGACAGCATGACACAACATCAGTCACACACAACACAATACATACAATAACATGCAATAATAAGCAATAACACATTTCAATGAATTATATAAAAAATTAGCAGCATACTACATCAATTAAATGAAAAAAATCTCTATTTAAAATTATACTTAATTGTAACAGTAGTAAACTCAACTAGTTTACAACTATGTTTTTCATTTGTACTGCAACTATACTACAAGTGAACTTATTGATAGTTTACTAGTCAAATACTTGTTTTATAGTTTATGAAAGTATAGCTTGAAGTATACTCTCAGTAAACTATACAAGTTTAGTAGTTTTATACTGCAAATGTACTTGCAAGTTAATATAACATCATACTTATAGTTTACTATATTTTATTTTTACACTTTAAGGATACTATGTTCCTATTTAGGTGTTATTTTTTATACTTGAAATATACCTTTAACTCTTTCCATTTTAAACATTTTATTCTAGCATTTATTCGTGCATCCTTATATCAACACTTGTAAGTTTCATAAAAAAGCAACATTTTAAACAAAAGGCTGAGCAAACGCATTTTCTAGACCTGGTCCGGATGGGAGAGCACAGGTGTAGTGGACCGAGTCCATCAGCGCTTCACATCGTCCTCTTCTTGGGTTCAACATGTCATTCGGTAACGTTAGGCAGTTTTGAACTTATGTGCTGTGTAATGTTTGATGAGCGATAGCGTTATTTACATTTGCGTAAGCAATATTCTATCGCTAGTTTCTGCTTCTTCTTCACCTGTGTTGTTTTGATCAGGAGATTGAGTCCTCTTTCAGGAGATGTGTGACAGCGCCCCCTGCCGTGTAACAGCGGAGACGGAGAGCCGGAATATTCCTATCTCGAACATTCAGGGATTAGAAGTAAATTCCAGAGACGGTAAATTGGTAAATTCCTATGTACTCTACCAGTGGACCATAGCCTACCCTACACACACATTCAGATACTCCGAATTAGGAATACATCTGGGTTTTTTAATTTATAAATCAATATTTTCAAACAATATAAGTTATAAGTCAATATAAGACAGTAGGCTATGTAAACTATGTGAAAAGTATTTAATAGGCTACTCAAGCAAAAGAGTTTAGCTACAAGCTTATACTTGATTCTCGATCAAAAGATTGAGTACAAGTATTTCTGTCTAAGTTTAAGAAGTAGCTACAAGAAGTAGCCTATATTTCTGAGAAGTACAGAAAAAGTACTTAGACTTACGAGTTATTTTTAGTTTTAAAGAAGTGTACAAATAGCACACTTGAATAAACATCTTTTTCGTAAGGACATGCAGGAACGTACAGAGTCTCTAGTTTATTGATGGCCTGTGGTTTATTTTAATCTGAATATTTTAATATAATTCTTTAAGTTTAAATAAAGGAAAACAAATATTGCCTTCGACTCGCATCGATTTTATCGAATTAAAGAACCCCTAACGCAGTCTGTGTGGACTGAAGTTCTCTCCTATCGACACTGGTGTTGAGCTTTATCTCCCTCTGTCGGTCAAGTGGAAGAACCCAAGAGAGCATTTTATCAACACAATCTCTTTATTCTTTTAAACCTAACAAAAATACTGATAAAACAAAAAGTCATCAAGAATAGTTTTGGAATCGGATCGTGAGGTGCCTAAAGATTCCCACCCCTAATATATATATATAGGCTACACACATTTTACGGAAGGATTTGGCTTATATCCTGAGACATAAACATAAATGTGGCCAATAACACACAATAACAGAGACTAAAAAAAAAAACAATGCAAACACAACTACTAAAATAATGCTATCTGTAGGCCATTACCCATTCAACATATTTATTAATTTGAGCCTGTATAAAGCAACTTGAATTTGTAACTTGTTTTTTTGTTGTTTTTACATGAGAACTACATTTGAGAATGCTAACTCAAACCCCAGAATATGTCATTCTTTGAATGATATTTTAAACAGTGTAGCTAATATGCCATCCATTACAAACAAAAGGGACAGTGCTATGTGTGTGTTTTAATGTTCTGCCAACAGTGGCGTTCACACGGCCAAATCCACATGTGCGATTCAATGTAATCGACTTATAACAGTTTCAAGATTCTGCTTTACTAAACAAATATGACAGCAAGACTTTATCAATTAATCTTCTTTATTTTCACATTTAAAAATAAGTCATCTTATAAGCTTTAAGTTTTCAAGAAAAAAATGCAACATTAACCGTACCAAGGCATCTTAAAATCAAATCATATAAACACTGGCTGAAGGCAAAACTATCTCAACACAGAAAGTGTGACAATGCATTTCCACACCATAGAAAAACAAAGGGGAAAAACACAAACAAACAATTAAATGTGACTCAACATGACTGTCAGATTATAGTGACACACATGAATCTCCCCGGGAAAAGAGCTTAAATATTCTGAAGCTGACTGGAAACGTATCAAATACTACAGTAGTGCATTATATTCTGAATGGGAAGGTAAAGTCACTGAAATATTGGTTCTGTTGAGCTGAATATTCCCAAGGTTTAGGCTCAGTTTACAAGTATTTACTGTATAGTACAACACAAAAATCAAACAAGTTATGTAGATTTCTTTAAAATCTCAGTTTGAGACATTGATAGTCCAGTGCTAACTCACGTCTTAATCACCGTGTTGTGTCAGCCCAGTATTTCCTGTACATTTACAACCAATCCCCTACAAGCAATAAGTAGGACACATTTGCACACCTCTAGTGATGTCACAATGAAGGAGCAAAAGGTGTGGACCAATAAAAAACAGGCAGAATGAAGAGACCACGCCCACAGCCTTTCCTTCTGCACCAATGAACGGTCCTCGAAACCCCACAGGATCTGAGGAGACGCAGACCGAGACATCACGGGAACCGTGTCCTTGTGAAAAATATCATGATGGCATTTAAAATATACAACACTTAAAATATAGATTTTAAAAAGTTCTTTTCTCTTTCAGTTATGCAAGAATCTGCATGCTTTTAGCCAAAAATGTGTCTAACTTTCCAGCAGCAAGACAGCATAGAAATGGAGAAATAAAACAGCTTACAAATATTAAACTAAAAAACACCTCACATATTTTGCTAAAATTGGTATACTTTGGGAACAAAACCGATAAGGGGTCAGCAATACCCAAAAAGCAGGCCCACAAGAAATCTCAAAATCAAAGTTTTAATGAAATAACCCACCTTTTTTTTTTTTTTTTTTGAAATATTCTGGCTGGTTTATTAATGCTTTCAGCTGCTAATAAAGGTGTAGGACTCTCAGCTCAACACATTTGACCATATTTAGCCCAAAAGTTTCTGTCACCTTGAGGTTTTACACCCTTAAAGGGCCCGAAAGACCTGCAGCTTTAACAAGAGCATGCTCGTGAATCTGCCCGTCGAGGATCAGCAGTTTCTAGAAACGCTCCTGACTTCATTACACTGCAGTTTGAGGAACTAAGATTCTAAACAAATTGAAATGTGAAAAATGTCAACTTCCGAAAATATTAAGTTGCTTTATGAACCTTCCTATTCAAAATGTATTATACTGACCCATACGTTTTGGCCGTTGTATCGAAGAAGTCCCGTCAGCACTTCAGTACAAAAAAATAGATACAAAAAATAATAATCATGCATATGAATGTACACCATGATTCAAGTGATCGTGTACAGTGACCTCTGTATGATTTACACACCCCAGGAAAGAGAAAAATAATAATCCTTCACAGATATTAGACATTCAAAGGGGAGTTTTCCATGATATGGTCAACCAATGCACCTATAAAAATAAAAAAAATATTTACAAATAAAACGCAAAATCCGAACACTAACTAATACCCTGCTGCAGTTGTGTTTGCAGTGACCCAGTGTACGTGATCTGGCCGTGTCCGTCCTTCACTGTGATGGAGACGCTACATTCGGAAATGCATCCTGTGCAAAAATAATAATAAAACAAAATATTCCCAGCACCTTCCTATAATCTACACACACCACTGAGAACTTCCTCATAAAATAACTGTGAAAACACAACGAAAGGTTTGTAATGAAATAAATAAAAGCAGTAGGATTTGAGTAAACATTCCTCCTCCAGTCCTCTCGACAGGTGTCCGTGTGTCCGCGTCCTCTGAGTCATGTGACGGCTCACACCACGTACTGACTGGAGCTGTGGCCCGTCGTGTAGGCCTGCCGGCTGTACTGGAAGTGGTCGGTGAGCACGGTGCTCCGGCCGTGCTGGAAGTCTGAGCTGTGTGTGAAGGGCCCGGCGCCGTTGGACTGGGGCTTGTCGAAGGACACCAGGTCCTGTGTCGAAACTGGCAGCGGTGTCTTCTTGGCCTCCCGGGTGGTGTCATATTTCGCCTGGCGACGAAAACAAATCGAGTTCATTCAACATCCGTTTCTGCACTGCATCTGTGTAATGATACGCCTAGAAAAGGAAATTACCTTATTATAAAGGAAGACACCTAGTATTGCTGTCATCATGCCGATAATGTTGGTGGTGCTGACGGGGTTCCTGAGCATCAGGAGGGATATACTGATGACCATGATCCTCTTGGTTGCGTTGGCTACGGCGTAACTGAGTGGGCTGACCAGGTTCAGGACGCTGAAAGCGATCATGTTTTGTGCAAAGTTGCAGATCCCACTGATGAGGAGCAGCACAATCGTTCCTGTCCAGTTGGAGATCTCCGCCTGTGGAAGAGAACAGAATGAGCGTGGGTTAAGAGAATCACAGGACCCGACTGATCCACCGGCACTCCCACAGGACCCGACTGATCCACCGGCACTCCCACAGGACCCGACTGATCCACCGGCACTCCCACAGGACCCGACCCGACCCGAGTGTGATGGTCGAGTGCAGGTGGTAAAACACGTGTGTGTGTGTGTGTGTGCGGATTGCAGGAGAATAAAACGATTTGCGGGCCTGTAATGTAAATATCTAAAGATAAAATACCTAAAAAAAAGGAATAAATAGTTATTTATCTAATGCAGGCTAAGCCTTCCCCTGCTCCTGCTGCTTCTGATGGCTTTTAGAGGGAAAAGCGGTCCATAACTGCTGGTCTAGGATCAGTGTTCTCTGTAATAGTATTATATTTGGCAAACGCACCCGTGTGTATTTGTGCTCTGGAGAGTGTCAAAGGCAGCAGCGAGCAATGTAGCCAATCACAGACATGCTTGTGAGTAAAAGCCTAAATTAAATCAGTTCATCATATAAACCGATCAAGTCTCTTCAGAAAATTTAGACTAAACCGCTCAATTGTGAACTTTTTGAAGCGTCAAAGTGGTAGTTGTGTAGATGTCAATGGAGGGACCGAAATCTCTCAGATTTCATTAAAGCTGCTGTCCGTAACTTTTTTTAAGTTAAAAATAATCCAAAATAATTATATTAAAAAAAACATATTCTGCCAGTGGTCAAAACTATCTGCTTGCCATAGCTAGATTCAAAACGGTTAGCTTGTAATAATGATTTTAATTCCAGTGGTACTGATGGGTTTCCGGGGGAAATTCGAGCATGTCTTTGCGTCATGACGTCACAGTTATAAAACCCAAAAGACTTCGTACTTCGGATTTAAGGTGGCTAGAGAAAGAGAAAGAAACCGTCTCATGCGAACACAAGGATTAAACATCGGCGGGGCTTTTGAAAAGTGCGTGAACTCCGTGTTTTGAAGGGGTTCGAGACGGAAGAAGAGACGGCTTTTTTCTGCTGAACAAGTAAGACATTTCAATAGTTCAATCGTGTAACAGTACGTTTTCTTAATTCACACAGTTATGGAGTTTCCTTTGTTGTGCCTTTCTCGTTTTGCTATTATGGAGAATATGAATTCTGAACTACACAGGTAACCATAAAACACATTAAATGTAACATTAGTCACGCAATGCTGATGTTGTTAACATGAACAATTTGAGAACAAAGTAGGCTATAATTTGCACCGTTGCTGTAAATCGCGTTGATTAAATCTAACGAAGCTTATCATGTCGAATGCTTTTCCCCCTTAGTTGGTCAGAACAAAAATGGATGTTACTTACTTGTTCAGAAGACATTTTCTTATGAAAATTCTTATGTTGGTCAAACTTTCAAAAAGTGAATCTGTGATTCTGTATGCCAGTATCCACACAGCGCGGTGACTGACAGCAGCACTCGCCTCAAAGCACTGTGTTCATCCGCGCTGTTTCATGCCGATTTACAACCCACGGAAAGATGATAATTCAGCCAATCACTGCAGTTTCAGATTTCGAACAGAGAGATGGCGACAAAGAGGAAAAGATACGAACTGCAGCTTTAAAGATCTTCATTTGTGTTCTGAATATGAACAAAAGTCTTACAGGTTTAGAATGACATCAAGGTGAGTAATTAATGACAACATTTTTGGGTGAACTAACGCTTTAACAGTGGTTTTTGAATGTAGATGCTTTAATAAATCATTTATCGGGAGCGTTTATGCTAGCAAATTTCATGGACGTACTGAAAAAAGCCATGTATACTTTTACCAGCGGGCTTTTGTGGGCGGCACAAAGCGTGAATGTTGTGGATGGGAGCAGGAGTATATTTCTGTGGGAGAGGGACTAACAAAACCCATCCAGCGCATGTCTCGAACTCAGGGTTGATTAATGAAACTGGCTTAAAACGCAATTTTATTAACGCCTAAAGTAATTTTTTTAAAGGTACACTACTGTTCAAAAGTTTGGGGCCAGTAAGACTTAAAATTTTTTTTTGAAAAAAAAGTATCTTATGATCTCCAAGTATGCATTTATTTGATCACACAGTAATATTGTGAAATCTTATTATTACGATTACAAAAAAAAACAGTTGTCTAGTATTAATATAATTCCTGTGATGGCAATTTTCAGCATCATAACTCCTCTTCTGTTTTTACTTTGCTTTAACTCTTCAAAATAAGTTAAGCAATTTTCAACTTTTTAATATAAATTTTACAAGATTCAACTCATTTTTTAAAGCCAGTTTAATGTAATTTATTAAGTTGAAATTACTTAAACATCCAAGTTCATTGTACTTTAATTTAGGGAACAGCAACTTTATATTGATCAAAAGAATGTCATCACAATTAAACACACCACCACCTTCCCTAATTGTTTAACGTAATGATAAAAAATATTTCCATATTTAATTAAAAAAAAATGTAAAGTACAATTTGTTTTATTGAATTTAAAATGAAGATTATTTTAATACAAATAAAATGATTGCATTAAAATCACGATGTTCGAACGGAACCCATTGTAATTTCATTTCTACATCACAAGGAGTTAGGAGGAGGAGGACGATGCCAAAAACACTGTCACACAACGCAGGGCTCCAGACTGAGACCAAATGGTCGCATTTTGCGACTAAAATTTGAGAGTGTGCGACGGAATTTTACATCCAGTCGCACATGTGGGACCAGTAAATTTGCCTCACGTTAAACGCATGGTTAAGCGTGGAAGGGGCGCGTCAATGAATCCGGAATGAGTGAGTGTGACAAGAATAGAGAGCGCGCGTGTCTGTGGGAAGGAGACGGAGACAAATATCACAAGCTGTGCGTCTGAGCAATGAGCGATCTATCGACTCGTTACCAAGCAGCGAATGCAAACAAAATGAAAGTGGAACGAAAATACGCTACTCATTTATGCTTCACAGACCGTTAATTATTCCGGACCAATAATAGACAGAGCAGCGCATAGCCTTTCTTATGTATATCAATGGAGCAGCGCCGCGAACCACTGACAGTAAAATAAAGACCCGAACTTGGCAGTCGCGGGCCGATCTCGCTCACGCGACAGTAGCTGCGTTTACATGGTCACTTATAATCGGATTGACGGCTCAATCGGACTAAAAAACCTTCATGTAAACACCTTAATCGATCCGATTGAGCTCAATCCGATTGAAATTTCGATCGGATTGAAAGGGATGGTTTACTCCTTTTGTAATCTGATCGAGAGAACATGTAAACACTTGATCGGATTGAAAACCGAAACTAAAAGGACTGCGCATGTGCAATGACGTTGAAATAGCGTAATGACGTGTGACGCACGGAACGAGCTGTTCTTCCTGTTGAATAAAGTGAATATAAATGAGTGTTCCGTTATTAAAAAATTCTCATTTCACTCCGCGTCTGTGAAGTGGAGCAGGACAACGTCCCACCAGTGCTTGTTTCAGACTCTCATCCATGGACGACTGGTTTTGGGCGCGGGGTTTTACTGCGTGATCAATATACGCAGCACGGCAAAACGGTTCATGCTCATCGTCTCCAAATCATGACCAGAGACGGATAAATATTAAGTCTGCTGTTTAAAACAAATAAAGCACCAAAATAGAGGAGAATAGTTATGCGCGAACAGCAGCATATTCGTGCAGTGCGCATGTCAAAAAATCAATTCCGATTTGAATCTTGTGACATATAAACGCGCACATCAACCCGATTACTTTATTTATCGTTCATGTAAACACCGTGTTCGGATTCATCAATCGGATTGATTTCATTCCGATTGAACCATGTAAACGCAGCCACTGTTACTAGGAGATCCAGTGAGGAATTCGCCTCAGAATTAATAACATCATCGCTACTACGAGATCCAGTGAGAAACACTCTGATTCGGCGCAGAGTTCTGTTATAAACCATAGATATCAGATCAAACAGTGCTGACGTGGAAACCAGGAGAACAACTTATAGAAGGCTTTCAGTCCACAAATCGTCAACATTCACCATGGATTTAGGCTAATGTAGTAAGCAACTCTAACTAGGGGTGTAACGGTACATGTATTCGTATTGAACCGTTTCCGAGGCTTCCGGTTGGGTACGCATACAAACCGAACGATTCCTTGGACCATTTTTCCTGCCGACAAAATCTGCGCTGGCGCGATCACCACAACGCTGCGCAACATCAAATGGCAAACGTAATGAAAGCGGAACGAAACTGCGCTATTGTGCTTCACGGATCGTTTATCAGTTCAGACCAGCAGCCGATCTCGATCAAGCGACACTGTTACAACCGTTACAACACAGCGCTAAGAATCCAGTAAAGAAAACATTTGAATTCGCCACTGAATAACATCGCTGCGAGATCTAGTGAGAAGCATTCACATTTCTCCGTTATTAACCGTAGATCTCTATTAGATCAAACAGCGATGACGTGGACACCAGGAGAAACACTGTGCCGTGAATGAACTAGTAATACTTTACGTCCACAGACCAGCAACATTCACCGTGGATTTAATATAGTAACACTCACTGTAACCAGTTTGGCTGGAATAGTGAAATGCTTTCAAGTACTTCACACATCTTTTTCCAGCACTTCAAAACTCAAATATTATATAAATAAATAGCCTATATGAAGAGTTCAGATGCAAAAGCCTCTAAGTGCCATTTGAAATTTTCTTCTAGAAATTAGAATGATCATTTTTATGAAGCTTGTACATTTAAGTTCAGTAATTTCACTCAAATGACAATTAATAGGTAATCTTCATTGCCATTTAAGTGAAATTACTGAACTTAAATATACAAGCTTGATAAAAATGATCATTCTAAGAAAATTTCAAATGGCTTTTGCATCTAAACTCTTCATATATTTAAATGTTATTTTTAATGTGATGACCAAAACATTATTTGTTCATCCTTCAAAGATGACCCCCATTTATAAACCTGAAAGTTTCAAGATGTAGGAAAACTCACTTATTTAAAAAATATTTTTTCTTTTAACAAATAGGAAATTTCTCTGGCATTTCTTACTTTTTGCTGTATCGAAAACGTACCGAACCGTGACTTTAAAACCGAGGTACGTACCGAACCGTGATTTTTGTGTAGCGTTACACCCCTAACTCTAACCATAAATATGATAATGTGACAGAAATAGTCAAACGCAGCCTACACATCTTTTCTAGCATTTCAAAACTATATAAATGCTTTTTTTAATTTATTTTTTTATGTGATGACCAACACATTTATTGTTCATCCTTCAAAGATTATCTTTAAACTAAAAAATGTAATGTTAATTTCAAAAATTATAAATTAAGATACAAAAATGATAAAATTAAAGTTAATTTCATCTACACCCTAAATTAAGCTTAGTGATTTATTGTCAGCCCCATTGCAACCAGAATTTTTTTTTTTTTTTTGTAGAACTCAGTGTGAGTTCTCCTTTGAGGTGATGCTGTCCTCAAATTTGAGTCTGGAGCCCTGTAAACTTAAAATAAAACTGCATATCGTAATATCTGTACGTTAAGTCTCTTTATTATTAAAGAATTTGTCAGTATTACAGTTATTTTGGGGGAAATTTGAATAATTGCATTGCAAGCTGATTTAAGGTGTGCCCCTAAATTTTCTGCTTGTGCTCCTAAAATTTTCAGTCAGGGGCAACAGCGCTCCTAGTAAAAAAAGTTAGTCTGGAGCCCTGTAATGACAACATTCTTTATGTAAAACATTTTTTCTTTTGATTTTGGGACAGATTCTGGACAGTTCTACTCATAAACACCCTCTTATTTCCAATTCATTAAAAAACAAACATATTTACCAGGTCTCCCTCCATCAGGAAAGAGGAGAGGTCCACTAGGATCCATGTGGGCAGCATATACAAGAGTGCATTGAATCCCAGGATGTTCAGCAAATGAAGGTGGTGAATCCTTGTGTCACGCAAGACCTAAAACAACCACAGAAATCATTTCATACAGGAATTGTTCTAACTTTAATACATCAGCTAATAGGAATAGGAACCTTTTTGGAGAATATGTTCTGCAGGGAGAAGCAGAGCGTGGCTGCGAGAGCGCTGATCAGCCCGGAGACGTGGAAGGACAGCTCCGTGGCCGTGGCCAGCAGGACGCCTCCGATGATGGGTATCAGAGACACGTACACCTGAAATCATCCACACTTCAGGATTAAAACCATTAGAAATCCAGTGAACACATGACGTATTCCTAACTGTGTTTAGAGGAAGACGGACCTTTGTGGTTTGCTTCTCTTTCATGATAATCCGCGACAGCAGAACCACCCAGATGGGCATGGTGGCCTTCACTAGGAGAGAACACATGCATCACTCATATATTCTTCTGTAAGATCTTGAGATCGCACCTGGTGTTTGAAACGTCTCGGCTGCAGTCGAGTCCTCAGAAACACACACACACACACTCTCCCTGCACTAACGCTGCTTCACATTTCGTAAAGCCACATACGCCCGGACAAACCAAATCCATCAGTTGTCTCTGCAAAGGGAATTAACTATGATATTGGCTGTTTATTAGAAATTATATAGCACATATTAATGCCTTATTCTGCATGACCAGATTCTACATCCCTTAATCCTACAATACCTTAACTTAACTACCTTACAAACTATTAAAAGCTGCAGTAAGCGATTTCTGAGAAACGCTGTTATTTGAAAATCACCGAAACAAACACACCGACCCAGAAGGATTGTACCCACACTATGGGAGGAAGATGGTATCAAAATGATTAACACGTGCAAGCACAATTATCCATGAACTTGGTAAATGTTGCAGCTTTCTTTTACTATCCACAACCAAATGCCTTTCAACTTGCGTGTGCAAAATTCAAAATTGAATGAATGAGTAGCAATTTGTACAAATAGAGACATTTTTGAGAATGCAAATGTTTTCTTTTGTATTAGTGCATCATAATTTGCGCATGCAACACAGAAGATGTGCATGTGTGGATCAGGTGACCTGAGTCTTTCCTGAGTCGATCTCATTTGATTCATTTGGATTTTGAAACTTCTTTTCGAGGATTTTAAAGGGGTCATATGCCGCCATTTTTGTACAAGCTAGTATGATTCTTTAGGGTCTAAATTAAAAGTTTGTAATATACTTTAATTAAAAATTCTCATTAGTATTGTAAGAAAACACTTATTTTACCTGGTCAAAAACAGCTCTGTTTTCAGCACGCCGTTTCAGTGCATATGCCTTTAAATGATCATGAGCTTTGCTGACTCCGCCCCTCTGTTCTGTGCGTACACCGTTTGTAACACAATAACCATAACGCGTTGTTCATTATAAACGTGGGATTATGAATTATATTGAGAACGCCATACATAGAAAACATGCCGTAATGTACCCTGAGTGTAAACCTTAGACGCATTCATTGTGAAGCGTGCAGCTAGCGATTTGCAAAGATTAATATATTAATATAAAGTTTAATAAAACGTTACACTCACTTCAGTTCTTCTGGAGGTTCAGCAGGAACACGAATATCTGGTTCCGATCCTTTATTCATGAGCAGCTTCTTAGCAAATCCAGCTTTATACTCACCCTCGTTTATAAAGCAGTCTGGTGTGTGAAATGATTCACGCAAACATGAGAGCATTGACGTTGCTCGTGGGGAATATTCCCTTCGAAAACAAACTCAGCCACTGCGTCTTCAGCGGTTCAGATTTAGGAACATTAAAATGACTGTGTTCGTTATTACACCCAAGAACAGAACACCACAATCGCTTAGAGCCATTCTGCTCATAGACAGCGCTCCGGCATATCAACACTGGCTATGATTGACAGCTGGCTCACGAGCGAGGGCGGGTCTGTGTTGAAACATTGCTGTCAATCAACACTCGTGGGAGGGGCTTCCGAGCTTGTGACGTCACAGGCTCGAACGGCTCGATTTGAGGCAGGGGAAAACATAAGGAGATTAAAACAAAACCACTGGATGGATTTTTATCATTATATGATGGTTGTGTACAGACACTGCCAACACACATTTCAGTACAATCAACTTGTAAAAGTGCATGTACCATTATATGACCCCTTTAAGCATTTCACGACCCACACACACACACACACACAACTACAAATGAATAGGCCTGGTGCTGATTATTAAAGTGTGCACAACTACACATCTATTTGACAAATTCACAAATGTGCATCACTGCAATTATACTAATACAATACAACTTGTGTGTGCAAAACCCAGAATCAATGTGCAGCATTTTGTACAAATAGAGACAGTTGTTAATACAAAACCTCGATTTTGTATGAATGTAGGCCAGAATTTGTGCATGCAACAAGAAAGATGTGCATTTGTGGATCAGGTGACACGCGTGCATTCATTGACTTGTTTCTGAGTATTTATTTATTTGATTCATTTGGCTTTTGTATTTCACTTCGCCGGTTTAGCCTCACACACTGTCTGAGAAAGCTGCTAGCACTGGACGGCAGTAGCTGCTAACACAGGCAACGCGTAATCCAGCGCTCTTCCCCATAACACGCTCAATGTGGCTTCAGAAAGTGATATTGAAGCACCAAATTTACTAGCACCACCTTATTAATAAAGCATACTTTGTAGAGGCAAACAGATTAAATCAGATTACGAACAACACCTATGAACCACTCCCATAGAAAACCATTATAAAACACTTAGCGTGCAATAGCGCTTTGCATGTTCTTAAGGTGTACTGAGATTTAATACACCGTCTTACAGCATTAACGTTAAGCTTTTTCTTTATAATAGGCTCTATGGGAGGAAAACCATATACAGTCAAGAGCCTATATGAACAAGTATCACGTTTAGGGCATTTTCCTTACTTGGAGCCTAAAGAACATTTAAAGTAAAATTTCACAAAAATGTCTCTTTGTACAAATTTCTACACATTCATTCAATTTTGAATTTTGCACACGCAAGTTGAAAGGCATTTGGTTGTGGATAGTAAAAGAAAGCTGCAACATTTACCAAGTTCATGGATAATTGTGCTTGCACGTGTTAATCATTTTGATACCATCTTCCTCCCATACGCTACCTCTATAGCTCCGCCCCCAAATCTCACAAACACAGCACAAGCACCTCCCCCTAATTGTGTTTCTCAGGAATCACTCACTGCACCTTAATAAGCAGTAATTGGGAGTTTAGGCAAATGTTGTAGTTAATAGTTAGTGAACAGTGAGAATTGGACCCTAAACTAAAGTGTGACCAAATGTTTTTCCAACAGAAAAGCTGACTAGACTAAACAATCTGCATAAATGGAAACCAAGCAGAAAATCACTTAAATCAGCAAGGAGTTATTAATAACCTAGAAGCAATATGACGAGCTAATCCTAATGACTGCTTCCTGATTTAAAAAAAAGTTGCAGCCTTGTGAATTTTTTATTTTTTTTATTTTAAACATTTTAGTACAGAAGCGTATTGCATTCACTTGAGGAAAAAAATCTACTCTGTTTTTCTGAATTAACGAGTTAATTATCTCAGAATTACAAGACAATTTTTCGTGGAAAAAAAGTTTTTGCTTTGTTTTTCTGAATTAATGACTTAATTATCTCAAAATTATGAGTAACTCATTAGTTCATAAAAACAGAGTGAAAAAAAATGTTTTTCATGAAAAAATATCTCGTAATTCTGAGATAATTAACTCGTTAATTCAGAAAAACAGTAGATTTTTTTTCCTCAAGTGAATGCAATACGCTTCTGTATTTTAGCATATCAGTAGACAAAACCAGATTTTTTATGACTTGGCAAATGTACTCTCTCTATATATATATTTGAATACATGTCTAAAGTCTTTTTTTGGTTTTTCTTGTTATGCTTTTAAAATGTTAAAGAGACCACAAACAACTGGAAAAACAGGGAAACGTTATGGATGTCTATATATTTACACGTTTGCATACCGTTGAAGTATGTTCGGTGAACTAAAATCCAGTATCACTTGATGATCACTACAGCAGGGTTAGATAAGAATGGATGTCACTTGTCTCATACATAAACAAAAGGAATTGAAGCTTAGTCTGCACAGCCACGCAGGTGTGGGTGATGTGGCAGTGTGTATTAAGAGTGCGGAAGTGACGTAGTCTAAGAATACTTCAGTAAAGTGTAATGTTATCAAAGCTCGATCGTAAAGCAATTACCGAGGAGTCAGTAAATCATCATTTCAATTAGTTTCTTTATGTTTGGATGAAAGTGGGCGTTTAAATGGCGGGGGAACGCAGATTGTTAGATTCCCAGCTGTGGTTAAGGGTTAAACAGCAATAACGCACGTTGATTTAAACTCGATTAAACGAACCGATCCAAATCGACACATCCGATCATGTTGGCTAGTTACGTTCACTTTCATTGACTTTAAATAATACGGCCTGTTAGTTACACAAAGCCGATATGAATAACCGAAAGCCCCCCGTTAAGTTAACGTTACTCACCAGTGTGCGCATACGACACCGGAACCTTCCATATGCTGAAATGGGCCGAGACGGAGGCGAAGTATTTCCCGAAGGCGAGCGGCAGAATGTACCAGCGGTAGTAGAGGGCCGGCACCTCCGCTCGCGGGACGCTCCAGGCTCGCAACAGCGGCGGGAGAAACACGATGATGGAGAGGATATGGAAAAGAGAGACCGTGACCGGATAAGGGAAGCCGTTGAGGATGATTTTATTGATCACGTTGCCGCCCGAGCTGACGGTGTACCAGCACAGACACAGCACCGCGATCCGCATTCCCTCCCGCACGGGCGGGCGCTGCTCCACCGCGGCCATCTTTCAGCGCAAGCCACGACGCGACGTCGTCTACTCTACCCTGGAGGAATCGCTGGTGGAGGAGTCACGTGCGCACGCTAAAGTCACGCCCCTACGAAAATTCACCATGGTAACCTGGAGAGAGTTTGCTGTTAGAGGTGTGCACGTGCACTGTTTGCTATGGAAGCTTGTGTCTGCCACAGAATGAAAAATAAAAAAGGTAATTGCGACTTTTTATCTGGCAATTCTGACTTTATTTCTCAGAATTGCGAGATATAAAGTCAGAATTGCGTGATATAAGTCGCAATTGCGTGTTATAAAGTCAGAATTGCGAGAAATAAAGTCAGAATTGATTGATATAATGTCGCAATTGCGTGTTATAAAGTCAGAATTGTGAGATATAAACTATTCTGAGAGGAAAAAAGTTAGTATTTTATTTTATAGTCTTTTAACACATAATTGCGAGTTTATATCTCACAATTCTGAGAAAAGATGTCAGAATTTCGAGATATAAACTCGCAATTATGTGTTATAAAGTCAGAATTGTGAGATAAAAAGTCAAAATTCGGTTTCAAGAACCGCTATAACGCCAAAACAATCTGTTACCTTAAACTATATGTTTATCTCTGTAAAGCTGCTTTGAAACAATCCATTGTTAAAAGCCTATGAAGATGACTTGACTTGACTATTTTTTTTCTCGCAATTGCGACTTTATTTCTCACAATTCTGACTTCATATCTCGCAATTGTGAGATAAAAAGTCGCTATTATTATTATTATTTTTTAAATTCAGTGGCGGAAAGAAGCGTTTGCACAGGGTTCGTTTTGAAGAGCTTCCCGCAAATCAATTATTCACATAATGTGCTCTCTTAAAATGCAAACAAGCGCAAAGGGCATGCCACAGCATCACATATAAAGCTCGGATCGCGGATTTAATTAAACCAGTCTGCTTATTCCCAACTTTTACTTCGGGTCGGAGGCTTTCGTAAATATTTTGTTTATACGAAGAGTTACCGTTCATGTTAATATTGTAACGCAACAGTAAAACTAGTTGCCTTGTATTAACTATATATAAAAAAATCTTTCTAAAAGCTCCTTAATCTGTCTGAAGGTTTGCGAGAGTTATATTTTCCCATCACCACCACCACAGGTCCTTTTAGGAGCTAACGTTACATACTAATGTAAATAATTATTTAAGACGTCATTAAAAGATTTAGGTCTATGCAAGTCATCAGTTGCAGAAAAGTGCAATACAAAAATTCGTATAAAAACGTACGACGAGTTGCTATTATATTTAAAAAAGTTATTATAAGAGGAAAACACTACAAAATAGTTTTGCTTGCATGAAAGCCAAAGCGGTTGAAAAACTGCAGGTAAGTTCTGCCATCTACAGGAGAACATGAGGAACTGCAGCTTCAGTCGAACTCGTTTGTCAGTCTCCAACACTGAAAACACTGCTCTAAATCATTTCGAACGAAGCATATAATATTTTACCACAGGAATAAAAAATGTATACATTTGTTAAAAATCAGGACAGAGGTTAGTATATATCCAGTATATGATATATGGGTCAGTGACAAATAAAGCTTCAAAAAATTTGTTTGTTTTTTATCTTTTCAAAATTCATATTTTTGACTCATGGACAATATGTTTAAACAAGTTTCAGTTGTTAAATAACTTTTCAAAGTGTTTCAATCCATTTTTTGACTGTTTTTATGTCAGGCTGCACAACCGAATAGTTGCATCTACACTGCAGTTGCACCAGCTGACATGGAAAGTGTACCAACCTACCCATGCTTGAAATGAGCTGTTTTTACCAGCATTAGAGAGAGATCTACAAACCTTTTCACTCTGTTTCGAGGATCAGTCGGGCTCCTCTGGATGATGCATTATCATGTTTACTGTTATAAGAAATTCATAATAAAAGAGCCATGTTTGCAGTCGTGCCACCCTGACATTCAAATTGCTGGACAAAAGTTTTTCAATGATCTCAACAGCTTTAAAACTACTGAAACATTTGTTTATATGAAAGGTTTCAAACCTAAAATGATGCTGTAGTCTTTATTTTTTATTATTAAGACACCATTTTAAATATTTTTCTTAGTCTGTTCATTTGTTCGGACAGTTGGGCCACCTGACATTTTGGTCAGCAAAACATAAAATAATACGTATTATTTAAATGTACTAAAAATGAATTGAAACTAAATAGGTTTAAATGATGTCATGAATTTATCAAATTATTTTAAAAGGAAATAATGCACTAGAAAAATATGCACGTCATATCATAAAGCCATATGCTAATACTTTTTTTTGCACACCATTGCAATAAATCATAAAGGACAGAGAAACCCAACTAGAGAAAAATCCAGGTCTAAAATAGTTGCGAATCCTCATTTGGAGATTTAAGTGGAGACTCAGCGTCTGTAATCTATGGCAACATAAGGCATGATCTTAAGTGTACTCCCATTCCCATATGGATCCAGGGTTATGGACTGAGTCCAGTCATACCAGTTATTTCTATTATCATAACAGCCGTTCACACCATGCCATCGATGCCTGCGTATCCTGACCAGGTCTCTGCCGCTGACCTCTCGGCTGACCCCGGGGAGCTCTGTGACCGGCACGTCCGGTATAAACGCATGTCTTTTTCTGCACTCTTTCTCTAGCTTGAATTTCTCAGCCACAGAAAAGCCCATCCCTGATCTTCCTGAAGCCGGCGAGCTCCACCGGACCGCCTTCTTCAGTGCCATCTCTGTCCAGTGTGTCTGTGGGACCAAACAGAGGGTTTGCTTCAGATGCCCACTGCCTTGGGTTTCACTTTCTGTGTCTCTCTGACCATCAGATGTTGTGCTTGAGATGATTTGTGGAGTCTGAGGGTCATATGTTGGTCGGTTTGCTTGCGGTTGTGTGTTGTGATTGTTCTGCTGATTCTTCGTGTCCGCAGATGTCGTGTCTGTGTCTGCCACTGTGCTGGAGACCTCGTAGGGGTTCGCGCTCAGCGCAGCAGGCTTGAGTCTGTGCAGCAGGCCTGAAGGCGGTTGCGTCTTTATGGAGGAGGAGTCTTGTATGGAGGCGTTTAAGGGTAGAGTAGAAGTAAAGCGGGCGAACTGAGCTGGTTCCTCTGCCACTGTGTCACTGTGACGGCCCGAGGGGGCGTGGCTTCGGGTCATGTGCTGGCCGTGGGAATGCTGATTGGACAGCGACGGTCTCAAGCTCGTGAACTGTTGTAAATGCTCGATGGACGAGGAATTTGTTTTGATGGCACGGACGGGTATTTTACTCTTTCTAAAATTGGTTGGATATTTAATGGTATTACCCTGAGACATGTCATCCCTCCGGCTCATGTTATTGTGGAAAACAGCTCTGCTGTAACTTCCCGTGAGCGCCTGTGCTGATCCAGGAATACGTTCAGTGGGAATTAAACCCACAGAGCTTGAGAGCCCTTTTCCCGTGACTTTCTTTACTCCAACCAACTTCTGCCAACTTCGTACAAGATTTTTTAAACGTTTAACAAGATCTTCGTCTGTGCTTCTTTTTCTCACGTCGTTGATCAACTTTCCAAGCCTGGTTTCCTGGAATAAAACAATTTCACACACAATCATCATCATCATCATCATCATATATAGTCTCTGTACACTTTAAAAAGTGTCCTTGTTTAGTGGTGCACGATATATCGGCCGCCGATATAATATCAATGGTTGATATGGTCAATTGTTTACACATCGGTATCGTTCCGATGTCAAAATAGGGCCGATGTGAACAGGCCGATAATCATTCCTGTATTTGACGTGTGTGTAGATGTGAGTGCGGGGATGTTTGTTTTTGCAGAGCGATATATTACCAGCGCAAGTCCTGTCAGTTTAAACATCAAGAGCAAGAAGACTGGGCGCTGTTTTCTGTCAGCCTTACTAAAGCCCAGTTTATACTTCTGCGTCGACCTCCCGCCGTAGCTACGTCGCATGCTGTGTGTAGCGCGCGTACCCTTCGGCGTACCCTGACGTGCACCTCTCCAAAAATGTAACAACGCGTCAATTCTACGCGTACCGCAAGCGCTGTGATTGGTCCGCTAGAACCGCTCCGGGTTTTACCATAGACAGTAAAAGGTTTTACATGTTCCCTCTGCGTGTGTAATGGGCTATATGCACGCATAACTTCCGCGTTTGATGCAAGGATGCTCTTGTGTTTCCGGTTGGGGAGATTTAAAGCGGAGGAAAACCGAGGAAAACGGGATTATGGCAGAGTCTTCAAAATTGACTGTCCTCTCGTCTTTGAAACGAAACTTTAATACGTTTAGATGTAATTTTATATATAGTTATGTTTATTTAATATAATAAACACAGAAGCATAAACAAAATGAGGAGTGTCTGTTTTGTCTGTTTTTGTGACTAACGATTTTTTAGTATAGCAATAGAGTATAAAAACCAATATAAATTCTCGGTATAGGCAAGCATTGGACTCTACGATCGGCGGAAGTAATCCAGCATCCAGACCTTCACCGGAAATACCGCCGTGCATAGAGCCCATTGCGCGTCAACGCGGACAACGACGCAGAAGTAAAATGAAAACCAACGCGTAGTCTATATCGTAGAGGCTCCGGCGTAGGTCCGACGCAGAAGTATAAATCAGCCTTTAGGCGTATTTTTGTCCCGGCAAAGCCTTATTTGACCGGTGAGTGATGCAGATGACTGACTGCTGCGCTTGTTTAACTGAGAGAACGAGCAGAGAGAGTGAACCGGTCGCGCGCCCGCGCACTCTCACCGTCTTCAAACGGTCTTGCTCTCTCTCTCTCCCTCCCTCGCGCATATTGAGTTGACTGAATATCTTTGAGAATACACGATGGTAAAAGGTCGGAAGACCGAAGTTTTTTTCCCCTTTTTTTTCTGAACTACCGCTGGTTGTGAATTGTGCTAAAATAACGTTGCCTATCTTCTCTGAAAAGCTTTCCACACATTCAGATGACAAACCACACTTTAAATAAACAAAAACAAAAAATCTATCTAGTGATGAAATGTTTTCTGTGTTGAGACAAGTCTTGTGCGATGTCCTAAACTGC